ACTTAATGTCACTTGCTCTTAAATTGGCTACCATTACTCCATAGTTTTGAAATCAGCAGCAAATCTATCTAGCCTAGAAAAGTTTTTCCTGTTTTCAGCAATCTGACCTTAATGCTAATATGGTGAAATGAAGTTTCTCTCAGAAGTCACTGGATTTCTTTTTCTTTTTCTTTTCTGGGCTCTCAAGTCACCCTTCCTAGTACCTTTCCTAGTTCTAAAATAAGAAATAACGAATTACTCTGCTAGCCACTATTCCTTTAGATACCTGCTCACTCTTCTATTCCACTAAAATGTCTCGATCTTTAAAAATCACCTGACAGTTCCTACCCTTCTCTCACCACCCACACATAATCCATAACAAATTCATGAGTTCATTTGTTTGGTTCTTTCTGCCACATTCTTTGCATTTACCAGAGGCAGCCTGTCAAGGTTGTTGGGACTTTGACTCTAGAGACAGACAAATTCAAATCTCTGCTATTTGGGGGGGGGGGGGGGAGGGGGGGGTGTAGGGCGTTTACCTTGCACGTGACCGACTGGGGTTGGCCCAGCAAACTACCGAGAGTATCCCACCCGCATGGCAGAGCCTGGCAAGCTCCCCGTGGTGTATTCGATATGCCAAAACAGTAACCACAAGTCTCACAATGGAGACATTATCAGTGCCCGCTCAAGCAAATCAATGAACAATGGGAGGACAGTGCTACAGGACAGTGCTATTTTTTTCAGTTGTGTGGACTTTCAGAGCTTCACTAACCTCTCTAAAAAGAAGTTTCTTAACTAAGTTTCTCATCCATTTAGCTTTCTAAGTTCTTGTGACCATTAAATGAGAAGCCTATGGTGGGAAGTAACATGATGGAAAATGGGTTATAAGTCTCAAGTACATGGGTGGTGCTAAGAGAGGTAACTGTCACTGTCACTGTCACTGTCCTCCCATTGTTCATCGATTTGCTCAAGCGGGCCAAGTAACATTGTGAGACTTGTTAATGTGTTTGGCATATCCAAGCTTTCCAGGCTTTGCCGTGCGGTCAAGATACTCTTGAGCTCTCTGAGAGGGGCAGAGGAATCAAACCTGGGTCAGCCGTGTCAGTCACATGCAAGGCAAATGCCCTACCCATTCTGCTATTGCTCCAGCGCAGAGGTAACCGTATGCACTAAAATATTAATTGTCAATTAACAAATAAGGAACATTGAATCAGACTGGACAGAAAGATGGGGGAGGATCACAGGCACTTCAATGCTGGGGAGAGCAGTGATTTTGTACATCAAAAATCACAAACCTGAACATGATTGTAACCCAATCACCTACAATATAGCACTGTAGCACTGTACCCCCATTGTTCATCAATTTTCTCGAGCGGACACCAGTAATGTCTCACAACAAATTGTGAGACTTGTTCCTGCGTTTTAGCAAATCAAATACATCATGGAGAGTTTGCCAGGCTTTGCCATGAGGGCGAGATACTCTCGGTAGCTTGCCGGACTCCCCGAGAGGGGCAGAGTAATCGAACCTGGAGTTGGAAGTATGCAAGGCAAATGCCCTACCCGCTGTGCTATAGCTCCAGCCCCACCTGAAATATAATTCTAAAAATTTTAATCAGAATAAAAAAGAAATGAACAGATTCGCACAAAGACTAGCTCAGGAAACTAGTTAGCAAATATGTGTGTGTTCTCTCAGACGTGACTAAAGCTGGGATCTCTTTGCCTTGATTCATTCCCATTACACTCAATCTTATTCTATAACATGTTCCACCTCCACAAGAAATATCTGGAAGAAACTCTAATTTTCCTTCCTCTGGATTCATTGTTATACATGTGTTTACTTTTTGATTTCTTCTTGGCAGATCGTTGCATGTTCTGAACATCTCTGCTGTGTGCTCCAGGTTGCGAGTCAATAAATCTTTGTTATTATAAAGCTATCAGAAAAGCATTCCTTCAGTTTACATTCCTCAATCTTTTTTTTTCCCTGAGAGTAAATCATTTTGATAAGGCATAGTCCAGATTGCTAACATGTGTGTATAGATGTGGATCTGTGAATCTTTCGCTCTTACAAGACCATTTCTAAATGTTTGGCAGTGTGGTCCCTTTACACCAAGAGGCAGAGGAAATCGCTGTTATAAGGGAAGCTGTATTTTCTTGCAACCATTTTCTGTTTCATAGCTTTGAGGACACAAATGTTTTTCCAGCAATCCTGGCATGACTGTGCCTTTTCCCCCAATGTGAATTGGTTCTTCTTTCTGATCCGCTGAGCACTTAAGACGTAGTTAATAATTCTCACCTCCTAACTGGGTTGTTTCTTACATATATTTCTCAAATTATGCCCCAAATCTATTTGCTATTATTCCTGCAACTATCCGTACAAAATAATGTGTTGCTAACCCTGTTATATAATAGAGCCTTGGTACATTGTTTTATTATCTTCAGAATCATCAGAGTTGAGAAAGACAGGTTTGGGCTTCTTTTGTAGTAACCTCTGAAACATCATTCACAGGACAGAGAAGAAGATGACAGAGTGGACTCCCCCATATTGTGGGACAGACATCCCAGAGTCCCATAGAACCTGCTCTGTTATACTCTTCTGCAGTTTCCAGAACAAGCTAAGGAGATGCTTTTGGTAGACAGCTTCACAGCACTTTCTGAGTAACTTTTTCAGGATGATGGACAAGTATCAGCATGTTACAGTCATTTAGTTGATGCATTTAGTTGATGCATTCATCAGATTAGCATGCTTTCCACATGTGGTCATATCAAGTATTGGACACAGTTCCAGAAAAGCACCAGATGTCCTTATTAGGAAAAATGCTCTACATTGTAACCTTCTCTTGCATCCAACCATTAAGATTTTTCTAATCTAAAGGTCACACCACGGTCAACATGAAACCATAAAAATGGTTTTCAGGGGCTGGAGAGATAGTATCATGGGTAAGGGGCTTATGTTGCTTGTGACCAACCTGGGTTCAAACCCTGCCATCCCACATGGTTCCCCGAGCACTACCAGGAGTAATCCCTGAGCATAAAGCCAGGAGTAACCCCTGAGCACTGCTCAGTATGGCCCCCAAACCAAATAATTATAATGAAAATTTTTAAACACCAAGCTTCTTTTATTTAGATGATCTTTTTTCTTTACTCATGTAGTAACCAGTCTTGGGGGCTGAGGGGTAGGGAGCAGTGACGGAGGAGAATTGGCATGAATGTATTGGAATATAATGTATGAACTTAACCAGAATAATTTTATTTCTTGTTTAGTTTTTATATTATGAGCTTTCAAATAAGTGAGCATCCTCATTTCAGATCTAGTTCTTTTGCTTTCTAGTTGGATGCTCTTAAACAATTTATTTTACTTTCTAGGGCCATCTCTACACTATTCTGAGCTAAACCACAGTAAGTTCCTTTGTGCACACATTACAGATTGGTTGTTTGCTATTAAAAACATCCTACATGTACCTCATGGTGTTTCACTAATAAAAAAAAATTTAAAAAAAAAAAAAAAACATCCTACAGCAGCAACTACTTTGCCCCACAGAGTGCTCTTAGAATTGTTAAGCATTAAGTAAAGGTCTAAGTGTCCACTCTTCGTGAAAAATACAAAGCAGGGAATTGTGAACCTTCCTGCATGGCAACAATTGTCTAAAGCTAAGTAAAACTGCCAACTACACAGGGAATGTGTTGTTTACAGTCTACTGCAAAATCCCACCTCTTCCTGTTGTCTCAGGCAACCCTGCTTTTCTCTTTTCCAAAGGATCCTGTCCTGAGTAAGCATGTGGTTTTGCTACCCTTCTCTGGCAGTTACTCCGCCTTGGTTTCCAAGAGCTCATCATCTTGCCACCCTATTCTGATTCTGCTTTAATTTTTCAAAGTTATTAATGTAATCTGAAGCATATTATAGAAGCATTTCTCCAGATAGCCTTAATAGAAAAAGGCCCATGTTACAATGTTGGTACTTACTGAGTTTGTGTGCACAAAACCTTTGGTCTCATAAAAATTACTCCATGTCAGCCAAATATGGTCTGCTCTGCCCACAATATTGTAAGGACAATCTATAGTTCTTGCCTAAATTATTATTTGTCATAGGTATTTTGAGATAATTATAATACCTTAGTACAAAATCACCGAAAACTTTGAAATAAAAAGTTCTAAGTAAGCACAAAATATGTTATAATTTAAATATGCATAGACTGTATACTGACAAGAAGGGTGTCTCATCAAATGAATTTTGTGATTTTTATTTTTATATGTTCTAGAATTTTTTAGCACTTTAATAATATCCATTTCACAGCATGTTAAAAACTGAGGGATAACACGGATCCAATATTAACTTGCTGAGAGACACCTTATCAGAAGAATACTTTGATCAAGAATGACCCATAAAAGCATATCACCCACTCCTATTATATGCTTTGTCAAACAGTATGTCTTAGCACAGACAGGGGAACTACATTTTACTTATGCTGGATTGATGCAGTCTGTATATAAATGAGCGAGTACTGAAGAACATCATGAAATAAATTTAAGCCATCTCCTAGTTTTGAATCTTGATTTTTGATGCTTTTATATAAGATTTACATAGGGAATAAACAGTTGTGAATCACTTTGTTGAGCAACAAATTCCAAAAATAATAGCAGAAAATAAAAATATCTTAAAGGCAGAAATGAGCATAGCAGATCCAAATTGAAATATAGCACTGTCCTCCCCTTGTTCATCAATTTGCTCGAGTGGGCACCAGTAATGTCTCCATTGTGAGACTTGTTACTGTTTTTGTCATATCGAATACGCCAAGGGGAACTTGCCAGGCTCTGTTGTGCAGGTGGGATACTCTCCGTAGTTTGCCGGGCTCTCCAAGGGTGTAAGATTGAAATATAAAAGAAGAAAACACATCCAAGCCAAGCCCTGGGCAGTCTGTGGGACAAGCAGCCATCAACCCTTAACTGAGCAGACGGCGGACAGGACAGTGCGTTTCTCTCTTTTTCCTTTTCTCATTCCTCTTTCTCTCTCTCTTGTGTCTAAGATTGGAGCACAGTGCTATTTGGAATGCTCGGCCCTGACTCAGAAAGGTCTCAAAGCAGTTTTTGACGAAGCAATTCTCACCATCTTCCACCCCAAGAAGAAAAAGAAATGCTGCTCTGAGTGTCACAGCTCCTGTTCAGTTATCTGAGGTGGCTTGAAATCTGTCTCCACCCTATCTCAGGGTGTGAATAGCAGCCAACCTCCGTCCTTGCGCTCAAGCCAACAAGGAGGGCACAGCCAGAGAGGACGTCCCCTCATGCACAGGCTTGCTCCTCCTCCCTGTGAACCGGCCAAGCTCAGCACACTAGCCAGCCAGCTGCCACCTCCTTCCTACCAGCCAGAAGCACCCACGTTGCACACTCCACAAGGATGTTGACACAGTCTGTGTCACTGCTGACCGTGTTGGTGACGGTCAAAGATCGCCTTGCTTTTTCTCTCTCCATCCACCCCCCACCACCACCCTGTGAACAAGCAATCACCACGGAAGACCCAGAAGAGGCACTCAGCTCCTGAACTGGTGGTCTTTCTTGATGTCTTTCACAAAATAGAGGACAACAGTACTAACCACAGCTCTGAATCTGTTACTCTACCCATGTGTCTTAGATTTATTTGTATTATTTTAAGAAACTTACTAATTCACCAGTTTACTCAGGCCTTACAGACCCAGACCAAATTTGTCCAAAGACAAAGTGTTTTTTCTGGTTCTCTTTTTTGCATGTTTCTACCAAAGTTATTAGAACCAACATATACCTCTGAATTCCTAGTTACAAGGACGTACAGGTAAATACTAAAAAAAAAATTTGGAAACTAAAACAGAACTAAAATTTTTGAACTGGTTGAAAGAAAAGACAATTTGATTTGTTGTGCATCCATTTTGCCAATGATTCACCCAGAAATGCTTATGTTTATGGTCAAAGTTTTTCTCATGTTATTTGGACATGGAAAAATTATACATGTATTTAAGTTTTATGCTATTTGGACCTGGAAAAATTACAAGTGTGTTTCTGCTCTTTAATCAAATTAATTGAGAGCTGAAGAAAGAATATTCTAAGACTTTTTTTTTCGTACTTTATATTCAGTACTAACTCTTCTGCTCCTTTCTATTCTTGCTACTTACTGGTTTCCTCCCTTGATTTCTCGAATTCTTTCTCTTTGTTCTCCCAATAAGAACCTGATCTAAAAGAAGGATCTGACTATCGGGCATGAAAAATCAAATGATTTGAAGTCCCCAAACATTAAGCAAAGTGCCTCCAACTCTCACAAACTACAACTGAAAGTGCTTCTGAATTCTTCCAAACAAGCACCATTCTATTTAAATGATCCTTTCAAATATAATCAGTACTAAAATACTGCCTCTCCCTACTTCCTAATCCCACTCTCCTAGGTGTTTGTTTAGGACCTAGGTCTGTAGCCCCCAAAACTCTAAGTGTTTTTATGCTCTGCCTTCTACCCAAAGTGATACGTCACATGAACAGGGACTTAGGTCAAGTAGAGTTTCCCAGAGAGGAATTTGTGTGCCTTTGCCATATGACTCTTCCAAACATGTAGAAGTTCTTTTATCACAGAATGAGTTACTTCCTAGCTTTTCAATAGTCTGTGAAATCTTCTAACTAGTTTATTTGCTTATAATTGCCTACAAACTCCCAGGTAGGCTCTTAAATCATTTCAACTGCATTTTTAAAAAGTCTCTTTGCAGCATGAAATTGTACTAATTTTAGTTTTAAAACATCCAGATTCACACTCTTTTTATTACAAAAAATCTACTGTTCCTAGTCCCTCCTGCACATAGAAAAACTTCCAATGTGGCTTCTTTCTAGAAGGTCTGTTGTGACACTGCCTGTTTTTGTTGTTTTATGTGTGCGAATTTTCTGAAGTGTGTTTTCCATTATTTCACATTTCAAATTCTATTTTCCTTCTCCCCATAAAATTGCTAAAAGACTTTCTTACACACATACACATATATACACACACATACACACAAAAAAGTCAAAGAAAAAGGGAGTTTTGAAAGTTAAAACTTGACATTTAGAGAAAATAAGTACTTTAAAAATAGAATTCAATTGTGTTAAACTTTAACTCTGAAGAGACCATGAATTCATCTTTCCCAAACTATGAGAATCATTTATTCCTGTAATAAATGAAGTGATGATAGCTATTTTCATTACACTATTACACAGTTATATCTTGCTAAAAATCCACTCCTTCTAATCAACGTGAATGAAAAATTGTGACATATTTGCTCTGCCAAGGAGAATTTTTCAGATGTGTACATTAAATAAGCAATTGGATCCCCAGGCCATCAACTCCCTAATGGACCACAGGGATTATCATGTTCATTGTAGGAAGTTTACTTTCTTGCTTCGATACAGAACCTGCAGAAAGAATATTCAGGTCTGGATGGAATGTGGGCTCTTAGGAATCTTGAGAGATTTCTAGTGAATACAATAATAATTTTTTTAAAAAACAGAGCAAACTAAGTGAGCTAATGTCTTTCCAGAAATTAGCCATGTGTTCCCTATATTATGCAAAATGTAGTTTATTTCATTATGAAATGTTTCCTATCATAATATTGAGTAAAATATATTCTAAAACTAAAAAGAGGAAAGTAATATGAAGGATATTTTAATAGTTGCAACATCTTCCATAGTCAAGAATGGGCAACTGGTCTCATCTTGAGAGTAGAGTCGTAACTTTTCAGACCAGAAAGGGGCCTAATAATCTAAAATCCAATCTGCTCCTCATACAGATGGATTAAGAATATATGTTGTGACACAGCTGAGATCTCAGCTTTTGTGCTTCCCATATAGTGCCCAAGTCCATGCTATATTCATTATATGTGTATTAAATTGAAGATTAAGAGATATATTAATGAAATTATATCTTTTAACCCAATAAATTCTAGTCACATTTAAAATGCATGATTTAGACCACTATAAATAAAATAATTCATCACAATAGTAGTAATCTAGAGACAGGAATTATAGTTGCATACTAATTGACCTAGAATCCACAGTACACAATGTAACTTAATCCCAATGCAATTGCACAGTATGCCACAATGCAATCCAAATCTAATAGTTCAACGAAGTAGCTAACCAGACCATTTTTTTTCAGAAGGTTGATTACTTGGCTGAATAAATTAATTCTTTGGTCTATTTTACAAACACAAAATTTCTTGGTTTATTTTAGAAACGTAAAAGGACTGAGATACAGATCAAATCCATGTCAAGATTAGGAAGTCTGGGCTAGTTTCTGCCATGAAAAATTATACTGAAAGAACAGCTACTAAATGCAGTAACTACAGCAATTCCAAACCATGGAAGCACTGTACTGGGAAATCAGAAACTAAGTTATACAAATACAATAAGAAGAGAGACTTAGTCCTGAGACTTCCATAATAATAATAGTATATTGGATCATGATGTGCAAAATATATAAAAGTATATAAGAGCCATTTGAATGATTTCTGGTCCAAGATATAATTCTATGAAATTTCCATATAATCACCATAAGGAAATAATATAATGGTAGTAAAGCAGCATGCTTATAGTAAAATCACAACCAAGTTCACAATTTTAGGATAAAAGGTTAAGCAAACTTATGATTTAAAGTGAACAAAAATGTCATTACTTAGAGTTTAAGTTCCCATGAGTAATAACTTTGTGAGGGAGAGAGTCTTTAAGAAAGGTATTTCACTCATGATAAGAAATTAAATATGTAGTATTACTTTCAAAATTCAAAGTTACACATGAGATCAACGTGATGAAAGTTTAGAAAATGATGTTATCTTTAAAGGAATGTTTGGCACCACTCTAAAAATTATTAAAACAATTTGAGAGTTTACTTTTAAATCTATCATTATGTTTAAATACCAAATTGCAAAACATGCATCTCTATTTACAGAGAGAACACAGGTCATCAGCTATTCTAAGACTCATTGAATAGGCTTCCCAAGTATAAATGAAAAAACTCGAAAAAAGTATTTTCATTTCAATGACCATTAGAAGCATAAAGAAAATGGAGAAGGCAAAAATGCCCAAAGTTTCTTAATAGGGTAGGTGCTTTTAAAAAGGAAATGCTCAGAGAATAAAGAGAAAACTAAAGACAAACAAAAGGCAAAAACATATACCTAGCAAGCATCCCGGAAAATGATTAACCATTCCAAAGAATGTCTAGTCTCTTGAAATATAGAGAAGAAAGGAGACATGAAAAAGCATATCACATTTCATATTTATGGAAGTCCAAGCAGAGTCATATAATGGGTGATAATCCTAGATAATTCCACCTTACTGTCCATTAAAAGTGAATAAAATACATAGACAGTGCCCTTTGGGTCTTAAATACAATGTGGTACATTTCCCTCTACATTTCCTCTGCTGATATGTAGTAGGCAGTCAAGGAAACTTACCAAGAAAAACAAGTGATTATAAAAATTATTTTGAAACTTAGAAAAATTATTTTGAAAATAAACATGACTTAAAACCTAAGAATGATACTTTTGAGATATCTAGAAGGATCTCTCGAAGGACTCATGAATTATATGAGTTCATCTCTGAGGAATAACTTTAAATACATATGTTTAGTACATATGCTTAATGCATATGTTTGATATAGCATTTAAAATGCACATTAGTAGTAATGTAATGCAAAAATATGAAATAAACAAGATATGGTACATCAAATGGCAGTAAAGATCTGAAAGGAAATTATAGCACCAAGCTCTACACAGAGGCACTCAAACATCAGGGGCTCAAAGTTCTGGGAGATTTTTTTTTTAGGGTTAGAGCAGGGATGAGTTCAAGGAGTGTCTGGCTCATCTTAAAATTCATGGGATGCAATTTCGACAGTTCTGGGCTTTTTAACTGGTACTACAGGAAATTAAAGTAAATGCTGCATGATTAATCTTGGTCATGGTCTACTTTTTCTCCTTAGGGAGCATTATGTCAAAAAAAGAGTAATTTTATGTGTGTATGTTGCATGCCACACCCTCATCATTCACATTGTTTTGATTTCTGAGCAACTCAGAAACTTTCAGCTACAGTTGAAGATACTTTTGTTGCATTTTTGGCTAAATTAGCCAAACCTCCTAGTGATTTCAAAGTTCAATGCAGGATCTAATCAGTGTTTGGAGCTAGGATATCTAGGGCAAGAAGGGGGTTCCCAATACAAGAACTGAGTCTGCCAGAGCCTAGTAGCACACTTAGCCTCCTGAAACCTTAGTCAAGTTAGTCTTTTGAGTCTATGTTGTCTTTGGGGAGAAATAAATGGAAAAACTTTCACGCAATGTGGTAAGTTTAGAGAAACCTTTAATACACACTTAGAATCATCACCATCTGCCATTTTCTCAAGTTCATTTCTTAAGCAGTCAGACTTCTTTTCTCTTTGAAGAGCTAAGGGCAAGATGGTAAATTCCATATTCTCATGAGTGGGAATAAAATGATTTTTGCTCTAACTAAGCAGTAATTGTTCTTGAGTACAGCTCACTCAAATTTTATCCCAATGGAAACCAATAATGTTCTTCCCCAAGTAATCTCTACAGATGAAATGTTAGCAAGGAACTATGGTCACCTACTTACAGGCTGGCCTTGTACAATCTGTTTCTTGTGTAATGGCTATTCTATGTACACTTCTCATAATTAATGTAATGTTATTTCATGTATTCTTTAACCTTAAAGTTAATATTTTTTGTCATGTTCTGTCATTTAGGTCATTAAATAGCCTTTTTTCAAA